GTCACCAAACTAGATGAAGGAACAGTTACCTTTAGAGATAAATCAAAAGGAAGTGTAATTGGGTTGGAAAGGTTCCTCTCAGCTCAACATGTGATGTAGATGAAGTGTATCTAGTTGATGAACTTGGTTACAATCTTCTCATCATTAGTCAACTATGTGACAATGACTACGTGGCTCGTTTCAAAAACATGGTTGGTTTATTGAAGATGAATCGGGTAAAGTTATCCTCTCTGGAAATAGGGACAGAAATGTTTATACTATCAGCAACTTAGATAGTGTTGGTAATCAAATTTGTCTAGCTTCTATTCTTGATGACCCTTGGGTATGGCATAGAAAACTTGGTCATGCCAGCATGCATACTATTCATAAACTTTCTAAAAATGATCTTGTCATTGGTCTTCCAAAACTAGATTTTTCAAAAGATCAGATTTGTGATGCATGTCAACTAGGAAAACAAAGCAAGTCCTATTTTAAAGTCAAAAACATTGTTTCAACTACAAAATCTCTTTAACTACTGCATATGGATCTTTTGGGACCTACTAGAACTGCTAGCATAGGTGGTAGAAAGTATGCTTTTATTATAGTAGATGATTTTTCTAGATTCACCTGGGTTATTTTTCTAAGTCACAAGAATGAGGCATTAAGGAACTTTGAAGTCTTTTGCAAGAAAGTGCAGCGTGAAAAAGGTTACTACATTTCCTTCTGTGTGGCCTTATCCACCACAGAGGTAGAATATTTGGAAATAGGCAACTGCTGCACACAAGTACTATGGATCATGCATCAACGTAACTGTTTGATCATGATTTATGTCTTAATTCTATTCCTATTATGCATGACAACACCAGTGTAATTTGTTTATCAAAAAACTCTGTGCATCATTCTAGGGCTAAGCATATTGAGATCAAGCATCATTTTATTTGTGATCATGTTGCTAAAGGAAATATTGTGTTAGAATTTGTTAATATCGAAAATCAGTTAGCGGATATTTTTACAAAATCTTTGCTTGAAGAAAGATTTTGTTTCCTTCGAAATAAAATTGGTATATGTACAATTCCCTCATAACCATGTTTAATATTTTTTATAGTTACTTTTATTTATTTCCATATATCTTGTTATTTTCGCCAAAAAATCATTTAGTACTTGATTAATCTTCACACTCATTTATTGTGAACCGACGGGGTAGTTTTGCAGAAGGCAACTTTTCAGTTGCCTTTCATACGTCTCTCCGGGAATTAAGGCGTCCATTCTAGTGCTTTTTAACTCCTCCTCCCTCGATTATATCTCACATTCTCTCAAAGAAACCAATCTTCTTTCTCTCTGTTTTCTTCCACTCATGGCCAAAGCAAAACCCTCTCCCTCCTCTTTCATACCCAGAAGAAGCCACCGATTCAAGAAAACCAAAGATGACCCTGTAGATATCGAATCCTCCGAAATCACAGATCACTTACTCATTGAAGTAGATTCGAGTGGCTCTCAAGAAGAAATTATCATATCTCAAAAGAGGGCAGGAAGACGACCAATGGAGTTCATCCCCAAATAATCCTCTCAGAAAAAGGGAAAAGCTGAAAGTATAGAGTTTGGTCCTGAAGACAAGATGATTTTCTACGGTCCTGAGGAGAAGGATAGTTTTTTCGCTTTCAAAGGAAAGTCAATTGCTTTTGGTCGCATTGCAAGTTTAAAGTCTATGCAAAACTCCCACTGTAATGTTCTGTATATTTTTGAAACTCAGAAACTTGTCTATCTTTTTGCTACTATTGGTGATACTGTCTATGAAGAGCCTGTGCATATGTTCTATGAAAACCTTTTTGTGAATGATAAAGACGATCTAGAAACCATGGTCTTAGGAACTCGCATTATCCTTGTTCTTATCAGTTTGAAAAAATCTTTGCTACAAAGTTTGTTGGATACAAGTTTTTTGTGCAACATTCCTTGCCAGATAATTTTGAAGTATCTTTTGATGAGGCCAAAAGTGTTCTGTCTGAAACCCCCTGATACAGGTCCTAAGAACATGAAATTTGAACATCGTGTTCTAGCCCATATTATTGCAACCATTTGCTACCCTGTACTGGTTCTCTGAGTACTCTGTCTCTCAGAGATGTATTTGTTCTCTATTGTTTGGTGAATGGTAAAGCTATCATATGGTTTGCCTAGGTACGTCAATACTTTCTTGAAAGTATCAGGGACGTTTCATCTTCTGCGAGGAGCCTTCCCTATGATTTACTAGTCTCTCACATCCTGAAAGTCATGAAAGTAGACCTATCTCTCTATGCTCCAAAGACTATCTCCAGCACCTATGACAAGACTGCCTTTTGCCATGATGGGGTATACCTTGGATTAAGAAGGACAAAAGCACCAGAGGTCATCCCTACTCAGAACAGTAGGGGAATCAAATCTGAAACCAACAAGTCCTCTTCTTTAGACCAGCTGATGCTGATGCAACACGACATTGCAGGTATCAAGGAATTACTAACCTCTATGCGGAGCAGGTGGACAAGATTATAGAAGTAACCAAGGAAACAGGGCTATGCAGGATGTCACTGAGAAGCTGACCAAAGTCACCAAGGACATTGATGCCTCCTATGAAAGCTTCTGCACTAAAGTGATCAACACCCTGAAATATTTCCTTGGAAAGAATTGAATGTTTGGGAAGCTTAAGACAATTTTTTTGCTTTTTGTTTTATGTGGTAGTTTAAGACTATTTTTTTCGGTTGTGTCTGGGATGAGCATCAGTCGACTATACTCACTATAACTGCTTAGTTGTACAAATTTTTTGCCTGCTTAGTTATTACTATTACTGTAAGTAGTTTCTCTTGCTCTTTTTGATTGATGTCAAAAGGGGAGAAGAAAGAAAAAGAGTGCAGGTTGTGCAGGTTCAAAAGTGCAGATTCAAATCAACACCCAAGAACTAGCTTGAAGACAGGGGGAGCACACTTGAAAAGTAAAGGGAAGTATCCATAAATTAGTCAAACTCTTTTTAGCTTATTGTCATCATCAAAAAGGGGAAGATTGTTAAGTTTAGAATTTTAATAATGATCAACAACCCTAAAGAAGCCTTGACTAATGGTATATTATTGTATGCAGATTCTGGTGAGCAACAACATTGCTAAAAGGAATTAAGATCTACTCAACGGCTATGTATCTTCAACCATTGCCTTACATGGTAAATAAATCAGTCAGCCTAAGAAGAAGGAGTCAATCAACAACCGATCAAGATTTTCAAGTGTGCAAAAGTGGAACAAATCACAGACAGACCAATCAGTGTTAACCAAGATCCTCAAACGTGCAAGAATGGAGCAAATCACGGACAACAATCAAACCTGCAGGATTCAGCAGAAGCTCAAGCCAAGAAAGCTAAGAAGGAAACGAAAGCAATCCGCCAAGATTGAAGCAATCAGCCAAGATTATCTCCAGTCAAGGAAGCAATTCATAAGGAAAGAGAGACGAATATAGCTACAATTTCAAACTAGATTCATGAGGCAACCCTTGGGTCTTTATCTTAGAAGTACATGCCTCACAAGGAAATGATTCCTAAAATTGCTTAGTACAATCCCAGAAGTCAAGGAAGCAGAAGACTCAGGAGCTATAAAGGAAGAAGCAGAAGGACATTGAACTTCAGGCAACTACAAAAACTGTTGTCTAAGCCTTTCTAGTTCTTAGTACAAATACTGTATTCTTGAGTTTACAAGTGTCACAATGATAAGAAGAGTTAGAACACAAAAGAGAGTTGTGTCAACATTACAAAGATCACTGTTGCTGAACATCGTTGATGGTGAACGCACTAAAACCATCACTTTTGTAATCCTTTATCAAAGATCTAAGAAAACCCTTGTGACCTAAGGGAACTGGACGTAGGTACCACACCGGTACTGAACCAGTATAAAAACTATTGTGCCTTCTTACTTTTCTGTTAGTCTATTTCATTCTTACTGGAATTGTTCACTATGCAAAACCTAGTCAACTAAACTCACACTTAGTCAACTAGAATTTTAATTGGTTCTAATTCAACCCCCCCCCCCCTTCTTGTACTTCATATGAGTTCTTACAGTAAATGCAAGCTAATGTACAACAGGGTTTACATCCAAATCTTTATAGCTATTTAGTGAATTTCTATTATATATATAGGATTCACGTGAACCCGTAGAATACCTAGTAGATCTGCCCCTCGCTCATGTATAGGATGGCTCCTTCGGAAAGGAAATCTTTAATTAGTGCCCATGCTAGACCACGAAACTAAATTCGATTCACTCTTTTGATGTACTCTCTAAAGAATCTAAGCTATGGTCTTATCATTCAGTATGCAGTGCTAGAAATATAATAATGCATTGTCGTCCAGTTTTCCAAAAGCAGTGATCATATGCCGCACAAGCTTCTTAATTTTAATAGATCTGAGATAAGATTACAAGTTTGATTACCTGTATTGAAGATAAAATTAAATTGCAACTTACAATTTACAATTTATAATTTGTTTTGATCTTTTGTAACTCATTTTTTTCTTTCTTCAATCTTTCCTCATGTAAAAGAAAGTAAAACATGTCTATACATGATATGATGAAGCCACATGCCCTAAACCACATTTTCCACTTTTTCTATTGTGTTATCCACCGCGTGTAAGAATCAAAAAGTTCCCTTCCCGCGAAAAATGAATTCAGTAACACGCGTGCTCCTCCTATTGATGATCAGACTTGTAGAAGGATTTTCGATAATTGAGTTTCATTTATTTGAATCGATAGTGTAAAGAATCTTTTGTCCAATAAAGATCTTTTGTCCAATCAAGATCAATTGAAATGTAACTTTTTTTGGTAATAAACTGTGAATATTACCATAACAACTAAAAACTTTACAAACTAAGAGCATCTAAATTCCAAACCACCTTCTAGGAAGTGCGCTCAGAATTCTAAGATCTCCGAAAGACAAATCAATCATCTATGTAATCTAATTACAGAGCCTATGAATCAAAACTTGAAAGTTTCTAGCTCTCCTAGAACCTGCACAATTGCTCTCTACCTAAGTTTTTTCTGAATCTGTAAAACTATAAACTCTCTATTTACATTTAATTTCCTGAATATTCTCCAATTCCTAGCTTGCCATGTATAGTAAATCGTGTCTCCATAAATAACAGCTCCAACTTCTTTCCTGAATTGCCTCCGTTGTTTATTTCTTATCCATTTCAAGGTGCTTCTGGAAGGCTTCTGTGGGAAGGCAATACCAGTCCATGTAGCAAGTTTTTCTCTTACTGTAGTGACCCATTCACACTCAGAAAAAAGGTATAGTTCAGTTTCAGGAACTCCAAGCTCACATAAGCAGCAATTCATGTTGCCATCAGTAAGTATATTTAGTTTCAATAGCCTTTCCTTTGTTAGCAATTTATCCTGATAAGAAAGCCATATGATTACTCTATGCCGAGGCAACATTATAGCATTCCAAACCAATTCAGCTTCTCTCATCCTTGTCATATCCCCAAGCATTGAATTATAACTACTTGATACAGAATATGCGCCAATTGAAGTTAGCTTGTATGTGTCTCTGTTATACTATTGTGCCATTATCTCTTTCAATGAATTCAACTTCTTCCAGTACCAACTACACTTTTGCGGTGGACTATGTTCCTAGATATCTCTACGGTCCTTTATATAAACCCCATTTACCCACTTAACCCATAACACATCCTTCTTAGTGACTAGTTGCCATAACAACTTACCAATTGATGCAATATTTGATGGTAGGCTAGGAACTCATGTTTTAGCTATATTTTGCACACTAATTAAACTTTGATTGGATTTGAGCCTAATTGTTAGTACTTTATACTTATTACGTGGGTTATATTGTGTAGGATGTAGTTTCGAGTAAATAATGACAACCCCAAGGACAAGAACTACAAAGCCCCTACTTTTGCCCCAACTGGCCAGTCTGAAGAGCCAGTTGTGGTAGAGGTCCCTGCTGAGCCTACCCCCACTTCTGCTGGCATGCCTCTCGGACCTTCCACATCTTCAGCCATTCCTCCTAGCCCTTCCACATCAGCAGGCCCGGAGATCCCATCTACCCGGGCCCATCCCATCACTGCCCACCGGCTGAGCCAGGCCCTGCTGAGTATAAACAACTGGATGCAGATTGCCTCATCCAAGTTGTCCACATTGACTACTACTGTAGCGGCTCAGTCGGCACCTCAGCCAGCACAGGTCCCACAGTCGATAGAGGATGCTTTGAAGGAGATACTTGAGAACCAGAAGAAAATCCTCACCGCTCAGGATGCATTGGCCAAGGCAGTCGATTCACACAGCAAGGCTCTCAAGGAGCTTCCTAAGGAGCATAAGAAGCTGCCCAAGACACGGGCCTCCAAGGAGTCCGTGAAGGAGCTGCGGGCAGATGTTGATAGACTGAAGGCAGACCACCTGCCTTTGGACCTGTTGCTTGATGTTCCAGTCCCAGCAGCTTATCCACAGCCGGAGCAGACCCAGAGGCCTCAGAAGAGGAGGAAGATTCCTAGAGCAGATGATGCCATCATCCAGTTGGCGGACCCACCGGAGGCTTCCTCTAGTCAGCCACAGGATGTACCAGTTCCAGAGCCTGTCCAGGTCCAGGCCCAGGTCCCAGTAGCAGCAGAGCAGACTACCGGGAACCAGTCTGAGGTTCCCGAGCACATAGAGGACCCAGGGACCACCCATGATCCTATGCAGACAGACACGGCTTAGGGAGTCTTCTATATCCTTTTTCTATATTTTTGGTGCTTATTTAGACTAGTTGGCATTGGGGACAATGCCAGCTTTCATTTGAGGGGGTGAGCCCTATACATTTTTGTGGATGACTGTATATATTGATATTTTTATGCTTTCTTGACTTTTCACTTTTTGTCTGTATATAAAGTTACATTTCATTGTATATATTCATCCCGTCTATTGTATATTCAAATCCCCCCTTGTATATATTTATTCTATTTTCCGCAAAATCTTTCATTTTTAGCTTCTTATTTGTGATTCGTAGCTTTTTGTTTTCGGAGTTTTCAATAAACCTTTGGTTTTCTTAATGCCACGGTTCTTTCCAAAGGTGGAATGTTGTGTGAACCGGGTGGCTCTTCCCAATGATAGATGGCGTGACAACCTTCTTAAGGGTTTGAGTCCGTTTTTCTTTTTGTTTTTAGTAGTTTGTAGTTAAGGGTACCTCAAGCAAAGCTTCACTTGGGCCTAGCACATTTGCCTTTGATCTTATGGTCAAAAAACAAATTGTTGTATTTAGGATGGTGAAAGTCGTGACCTTGAGACTCTTGTGTTGACCGATGTTCATCAAGTGGTTTTTCGGGACCATTGTGTGCTCAAATCGTATCTAAGGTCGTTGTGGGCCCCCGACTCTATGTCTTTAGCAATCCCTTAGATTGTGTGGTGAGTAATTGAATTGCTAGTCCAAGTCCCGAGCCATTGGTCTAGAACTTGCCCTGAATGTTTGTTGAGGCGAAATCCTAAGTGAATTTTGACTTGAGACGTGATTATAGGCTCTTCTTGATCCAAATGATAGATTGAACAATTCCATAGCCTACTAGTGATATGATCCCTAGTTAACCCTTTTGATCCTTAGACCTTTTTCTTTCATGAACCATGATACAAGCCTATACCCGTTCTAAAAGATACCCTCTCTTGGCACCCAATCTTTCCTTTAGCACATGGCAAAAGTATAAGTTTGGGGGGAGAGACGGGGATTGCATCAAGGTGGTTAAAAGGCACAAAAGTGAAGAAAAGGAAAGGCAATGAAGAAGAAAGAAAAGCAAAAAGACAAAAAGGTGAAAAAGACTACAAAGGGATTCAAGAAAAGCAAAGAAAGAAAGGTGTGGAAAGTTGAAAAAGGAGAAAAGGTTTGAAATGCATAAGAAAGAGTGACAATGTGTCTCTCTAACCCCTTAGAAAGAAGTGAAATGACTCAGAGAGTCAAGTAAATTATGCCAAATGAATCAAAAGAAGTGCTTAAGGGAAGATGGAACCCACTTGAACAAAAATATGACTTACCCTGAACCAGAAGCCTTCACAATGACTCCACAAAAGCCCTATATGATCTTGAGTCGAGTGAAGCTTACATTAGTGGATACTCACATAAGGGGCAAGCATATGGTACTTAGAGCCGGACTTGTGACCTTTCCTTGAGAAAGATGAGTGAATTTCCAATAACCTCGTTTTGTATGCCAATATTCTAAAGGTGAGGTTTGCTTAGGGAGAGTTGAGGATGTGTTAGTTTGGGTTCCACAATGACCAAAGTAATTGAAAGAGTTCTTTGATGTGTTGAGTCAACTCTTGATGCTCTTGTGTCACACTTGATCCATGGTTTTTCAAAGGTTAAATGTTGTTAATGACTCATGTATGTCGAGGGCAATTGTTAATCCCAATTGATGCTAGTTGAGGTTGCTTTAGGAAAGCTGAAAATTTCTTGGATTGTCCCTTAAGGGGTGGGTCTTATTTTGTTTGCTTGAGGACAAGCAAAAGCTTAAGTTTGGGGGAGTTAATAACTAGGGATTTTGACGCATTTTATACCCCTTTGTGCTTATGTTTTGATAATAAATTCATACAAAATAGTCCCAAAAGGCTCATAAGTTGTGCTTGATTGCAGGTTTGATCAATAAAGTGACAAGATGTCAAAGATCAGCTCAAAAGGAGTGAAACCTGCACAAGTACCAAAAGACAAGACAAACTCAGGAAAAACAGGCCTAGTGCGGTCGCACTACACTTTGTGCGGTCCGCACTAGAGAGGTTCAGAGACTCAGCATTTCAGGCTTCGAAGCAATGCGGCCGCACTAAACTTTGTGCGGTCCGCGGTGGACCTCCGCAGCCGCACTATCATTCTGTGAGGTCCGCAGAGGCAAGGTTCAGAGAGCTGCCAAGTGGAAAGATTCAAGCCTGTGCGGTCCGCGGTCGACTTTGTGCGGACCGCGCTAGGAGCCTCCACGGCCGCAGTCCATTCTGTGCGGTCCGCGGAGCCTGGGTTCAGAGAGTCAAAATTTCAAGTTCAAGAGCCTAGTGCTGCCGCACACCATTTTGTGCGGTCCGCACTGACCACGCAGGGGCAATTTTGTCCAGTTTTTCCAGCTTAGTATAAATAGAATATTTTTCCATTTTTAGGGCATCAGATATTATCAGACGTTAGCTGCGCTCGTGAGAAGACATTTCTTAGCCATTTTGGGCACTTTTACTTAGTTTTAATCATTGAATCTTTGTATTTACATTAGTAATTGATTAATATGTCTTTCTCTTCATCTATTTCTTTGATTTTATCTTCAAGCATGAGTAGCTAGACCCGTTAGCTAGGGTTGTGGCTCAACCCTAGTGTGGGTAATTGATGGGTGTTGTGATTTAAGGTTAGATTGATTATGGGTGTTTGTTATTTGGGTTAATTTTATGGTTTAATTTATGAATTAGTGGTTGCAAACACTAGTTTCTGCTAAGTTGACTTAGGCTCTTCTTGAGAAAGAGAACCTAAGTCTCAAAAATTGACTCAATAAGGAATTGGGATGGACTCAAGAGATTTGATAGTCCCAATTAAAGGGTTAAACCTCGAGAGAGTAATTACCCGACTTGAACCCTAATTGCTTGGGCAAATATGCATACCTAATTGATCTTGAGAGAGTGAATTGGGCAAAACTACTCTTTCTACCGAGAGGTGTAGAGTGGGTAGTATCGAGCAACGGTTATAACATATTTTTCCAATCATGTTAATCGTGCCTTAGATTCAATTACCCGTCAATTAGCCACCTAGGTGAAAGTCACTACCCTAGTGCCTTTTAAACCATTAGATACAACTTGCAATAATTATCTCTTAGCTTAATCTAGTTGCATTTTTCAATTAGTAGTTTGATAAAAATAGAACCATAAAGAAAATCCAAATGAATAGAAGACCAATTAAGAGCACACACGCAATCCTAAACTAGATAGATACTCGATTCCAATCCTAGCTCTCTGTGGATTCGATCCCGACCCAAAATTGGGTAAAAGCTATTGCGATACTCTCTTGCTACTTATTAGTAGTGCGGAGTTGGCAGCGATCAGTCTACAGGTGTACAAGTTGCACCTCTGCCCCTACTAATGCCCCTACCGCAACCTCGGCCTCTCGCGACCCTAACGGGTGGTACTGGTGGCTGTCCATCCTATCCGATAGCACGTGTACTCACCATCTGTGAGAGAAAAGAATAACAGAAATTTAGTTACCAGAATCAACAGATTCACAGGACAAGAATTCAAGATTGTGAAGTTTCCTAAGGGTTCGGCAGCCTCTCAAAGATAAGTACAGACGTCTCCATACCGATCCATAAGACTCTACAAAACTTGCTCATGACTCGTGAGACCTATGTGACCTAGGCTCTGATACCAACTTGTCACGACCCAAAACCAAACCATCCTGATGGCGTCTATCGTGGAACTAGGCAAGCCAACTACTCAACCATTTTAACACAGTAAAAGATTTGAAAAATACGGAAGCAGTT